TTACACCAATTTCAGATTTAGACGTCTTCATCTTATGTTTTCTAGAATTTTAACACCCACTATAACCTTAATTTTATTTATTAACAGATGACCTGTGTTGGGTTCAAAACTTGCTGTGACATACATTTTCACTTTGTTTTGCAGAAACCAGCAATAAAGCCAGCTTTCATGCCTGTTGCCTATAAAACACAATCCATCAGTTACCACCCTTCAGGGAACTGGTATATGCTAGGATCATGGCTGGTACCAGTAGGATAAAAGATGTCCAGCAAGTTCTGTGGGGAGTTTTGGGTTACGGTAACCTTAAGTTTACTCCATGCCTAACTCTTACTTTACTCTTACTTTAATGCTACTGAGGAGCATCCATAAGTCATCATGGTGTTTCCAGTCTCTGTGAGACTTAAGGGGTCTTAAGACCCTTAGGATCCATGCATTTTGTAGAGTCACAGAATGGTTTGTGTTGGAAAGGACCTTGAAGATCATCCAGTTCCAATCTCCTCACCATAGGCATGGATACCTTCCACTGAATCAGGTTGCTCAGAGTCCCAACCAACCTGGCCTGGAACACTTCCAGGCACAGGGCATCCCCAGCTTCTCTGGGAAACTCAGTCCAGTGTCTCACCATCTTCACAGTAAAGCATTTTTTCCTAATTTATGATTTAAACCCACTATGTTTCAGTTCAAAGCCATTTCCCTTTGTCCTATCAATACATGCCCTTGTGAGAAGTCTCTCTCCAGCTTGGTCTGTGTATCCCACAGCCCTCTGCTTGCACCCCAAGGACTCCTGTTTAGTCCCTGGCCCTCTTACAACCCCTGTTTCTCGGTGTGCCTTTCAGCTTGCTGTAAGTAGTTTGCTCCCAGAACTTCAGTCCACACTCTGAAACCGAAGCCCAACTCCTCGCCTTTGTTAGAGCTGAAAAATTAAGGAATGAATTTCAGCTGGAAAGTGGTAATGACAGAATGACCATCAGGAAGAATTGCACTTCCCGAAAGTGCTACCAAAGCTCATCCCTGAGGGGTTTTGGTTATGGCTCATGTAAGTCTATAGTGGGAGATCTGACTCCTGGGTACACAGGAGCTTTTTTATATACTGGTGCCTGTACCAACCACATCAACCCCTCTAATCTGGTTTATAAATCCAAGGTTGTTGGGTTGTTTTAAATGAATGAATTGGAAGTTCTTTGCAGGTTGCCTTCTGCTTCCAGGAATTGGAGATGGGAGAACATTATTCAAAGACTCTTAAGAAAAATGATAAAAGGTAACACTACTAGCTTCCTACATGCAGGATTCTTGCAAGTGTTAGTCCATTCAGTTTACATCTGCTGCAAAGCTGCTCTGTCCTACCAAGCTAGTGTCAGAGAGAAAGATTTTAGGATAAATTATCATTCATGTGACATCTTGCTGTATATCCAATTTAGGCAAAAATTAAAAGCGTTTCCATACTGCCCATCATGTCTTTACTGTTGGTACTAATTTCTAGTCCCAGGAAAAGTTCAAGTTCCACATTTTGCTATTGTAGCCCCCTTGTTCATATCTGAATACTTAAACTGATTCAGAAATAGCTGCTCCAACTCTTGGCAGCATCTGATATAAAGACCTTCCTCTTACTCCCAAAATCACCAAGGATAAGGATGTACTTGTGACCTATTCCCCTCCAGAGCAGGTTTCACTCTGGTGCCCTGGCCATGAAGATGACAGATGGTGCTACAGGGATCAGTCATGAAGGAGGTGCTGTATGCCTGAGGGAGGTCTCACAAACCTGCCTCTCATCTGCCTCTTGGAGACTGGGAAGCCAGGGAATTTCCAATTTTGGATTGCAGTGGGCTGCAAACACAAGTACCTGGTCAATCTTGACATGTTAACAAATTCCTACAATGACTCTTCTTATTACTTATATGCATGTTTCCTTTTTGGGGAAAGGAGCAAGTTTTTTCCTTTTTCAGAGGTAGCTTGAAATTTTTGGTCCCATAGGTGTTGAACATAAAGTAGGTTACAACTTAAGCCAACAAAATATAGTTAGAAATTGTTTTATTTCATTTATTTCACTCTGTTCATTTCCTAACTTTATTCTGACCCTCACTTTGAGGTCATTTATTTCTCACATTAGTTAGTTGTTCTTCCCGTTTGGGGATTTGGTAGTTTTAGTGAAACATTTAAAGGAGAAGACCAAGCAAACTCTCTCCTTATTTGGCTAAGAATGTTTGTTCTGCTAATATCTGAATATAAAAACAACCTAATACTTGGGGCAAAAACAAGGGGCATCCTCAGGAGACTTTTCAAGATCCTTGTCATGTTTGAACTTTTCAGGGGAGACTATTTATATCTCATGAAAAGGTTTTTGGGTTTGGTCTTGGTTTTTTTTGGTAGAATAATCTCAAGATAGAGATTTTACCTAGAGGAATGGATGTATGAGACTAACACAATGATGGGCTATTTTCTTTGCTCTGTAATCTTTCTTTCTTTCTTTCTTTCTTTCTTTCTTTCTTTCTTTCTTTCTTTCTTTCTTTCTTTCTTTCTTTCTTTCTTTCTTTCTTTCTTTCTTTCNCTTTCTTTCTTTCTTTCTTTCTTTCTTTCTTTCTTTCTTTCTTTCTTTCTTTCTTTCTTTCTTTCTTTCTTTCTTTCTTTCTTTTGTCCTCACTTTCTTGTTTTCTCTTATCAAAATATATAAAACAAATTTGTGAATTGACTTTTATTTTTTTAGATGGCATGTGATGGCACAGTTCTAATTTGAGATATTTTTTCTTTGGGTATTAACATCCCCAAATAGATTTTCTACTCCCTTCATGTTTGTTTGTTTGAACTAGGTCTCCTGGTATTGTAGAAGCTCAGGACAACTTTCCATATACTGCCCTTCAGTTCCCACAAGAGTTAATCCCAGGCTTTCAGCTAGATGAGTTGCCAACTACTGAGTGATGCCATTTGAAGCTCGGCCTCAGATGATGATTCTGGGACCTTTTATTTGGCATGCCTCAGACTTTTGGAGCAATGGGAGGACTGCACACTTCTTTTTGAGTCATGGTCAGAGTCAGTATTTGTTCCCCCTCTCACCAAAGGCAAATGGTTGGAGAAGGTAAAATTCAGCTTCTTCAAGGAAGTTCTTCAACAGCCTCAGGGAAATCTGAACAAACCATGGATGTATCTGGAAGAAGAGGATTCTTTCCATCCTCGTCTCTGAATGCTGTCATGTGGGAATGACCTTAGTAAGTCGAGAACTTTTTCCTTTTTTATTTTACTCTCCAGAGAGAAAACTCCTTTCCTACAGTGATAAAAATCAAGAACTTGCTTGAATATTTTAATACTCTTTTTTTTTTTTCATACTTTTCATTCTCTTTTTCCTTTCCTATTTGCTTTAACTCTTGAAGTAGATAATTTCTTCTCTCCTTTTTTCTTGTGAACCTTTACTGTACTTCCAGCAGCACGCTGTTTGAGCACCTTCCCTCTGCAGTTTTTGTAGAACACTGCTTTTGGGAGGCTTGCCACTCATTCTGATTGCTGCATTTACTTGTTGCATTCACACTCCCCTACCACATCTCCAGCTATGATGTTTGTTGCCTTCAACTGTCTTAGGTGGTAGCATGGTCAGCATACAGGTGGGATTATCACCTAACATTTTTGCCCCGGTTTAAATGCCAGCAAGGCCTGAGGCTTTGCCAGTTTGTTTACAGAATGCTCATTCTTAGACTGTGATATCCTGTCCTAAGGAGCTGTTTTGAAACCAGGAAATGCAAGGCTCAACTATGACTGGGGTGAACGGCTCTCTTTAAATAATCATTGTTGTTTAAATAATCAAGAAGTTGCCCCAGTAAAACTTCTTTACCTTGCATTTGATGTTCCTAACTACTTGGCAGTATGGGTAAATTCTCATTATGGCATATTAATTAACAAGGTAACTTATATAGATGAACCAAGTCAGTCAAGTAAGCTTATTGCCAACAGTTAGTCCCTGCTAATATCAGTAAACCCAAAAGTGTCCTGAATGTGACTGTGTATCATCACAGGGCAGCTGGGAAGTTAACAGGGACTGGGATATGAAATATTTGTATGGATATCAGCAGAAGCCAATGCTTCTAACTCTCTGTTATGACATAAAAGGAGACATACAAAAGGAGAAGTTACCCCATAAGTCAGCATAAAACCAGTTAAAACCATTATAACAATAGCAGGGAACCTAAACAGCTTGTGGTGATGATGATTATGAACACAATGTGATGAACATCTCCTTGTAATGGGTTAGATTTATAATGTTTGCAAGATACCTACAGTCATGTTAAGTGTTCAGAGTGTGTGAACATGTTTAAATTATGTTATGCTGTGATAAATGGCACTTAAAGCAGGTAAGAAATTGCTCTCTCAAAACAGTGCCATTTTGCCTTCCCTCCACTCCTGTACTTGGAGGGAATACAATGCTGAGTAACTACATATTATTTTTACTTAATTAAATCCCTTTCTGGAAAACTGATGTTGGTATCAATGTTTTTTTTTTTTTTGAACCAAACTGAACCTATGAGCCAAGTTCACTTGAAATGCATATGTTTAACTTAAAATTAAAGCCGTTAACTTCAATAGGAATTGAAGAGATCCATCTGGGAACAATGTAGGGCTCTAACAAGGACTATCGATGCCTTTTTTCACAACAATATAATGAAACTATGCAATGTGATGAAGACATTGCTTGTCCAAAAGCTCTTTAAGAGAATCTCTTTAGCTGTAGTTTAGCACTCACAGGCTGAGCCCTTTAGAGAAGACTGCTCAGGACTTCTGCTATCATGATGGGCTTAGTGATCTTTAACATTGTCAAGAGCAGTTTCAACTGGGTTTTAGCTAGCATCAGTATATCAAAGTTGGCATTCCTTTTGCCAAGGCCTTCATGTATAACCAGAAACTGAGGGTCCACAAAACAGAAGGAAAAGGGGGAGGGGGGGAGCACACAATGCTCACAGTATATTTTTATACATATTTACAGAAGGAAGAGCTGTGCTATCCAAACTTGAGCTTTCCCCATGGATGAGTCAAACATAACGTTTCATCCCAGCGAAGGCACAGAGAACATCTCAATGCACAGAAACATTTCTACACAGGAAAGGGTCTGGGAGATATTGACCCCACTTTGGGTAATTATGATCATCTCCTTCCTGGGTTTTTGTGAAAATGGAATTGTCCTCTGGTGCCTCTGCTTCCAGATCAAAAGAAACCCATTCACTGCGTACATCACACACTTGTCCATTGCTGATATTTCCTTACTGCTTTGTACGTTTATTTTGTCAATTGAGTACATTGCTGGTTTTGGATTCGCATATGGTTTTGACTATTATGTAACCACCACACTGTCTATTGTCTTCCTTCTTGGCTATAATACTGGTCTCTATCTCCTGACAGCCATCAGTATTGAGAGGTGTCTGTCTATTGTTTACCCCATCTGGTACCGATGCCACCGCTCACAGCACCAATCGGCAATTGTGTGTGCAATTCTGTGGACTCTGTCTTTTTTCATGACAGTAGCCGAATATGTAACGTGCAAAGATGATTCAACCAAGGAACAATTCGACGATGACAACCATTGCCAAGCACTGCTCATCTTCACATGGATCCTGACTTTCATGATCTTCATTCCTCTAATGATTCTGTCCAGCCTGATCTTGGTTATCAGGATTCACCGTAACTCCCTGAGGCCTCATTCGTCAAAGCTCTACATCATCATTGTGGTCACAGTCATTGTCTTCCTCATCTTTGCCATGCCTATGAGGCTGCTGTATCTTCTGAATTACCACCACTGGTCATCTTTGCTCAGCCAGCAGAACCACGTCACCATTGTTCTCTCCACTGTTAACAGTAGCATCAACCCCTTGGTTTACTTCTTTGTAGGAAGCAGCAAGAAGAAGAGGTTCAAGGAGAGCCTCAAAGTGGTTCTTAGCAGAGCTCTCACTGACGGCTTGCGGCCGAGAAGCCAGGAAGTTGGCATGAGTTTGGATATAGCCGAAACAATTTTCTAAAGCTCAGGGGGGAAACTCTAGGGGCAAATAATTGGACGTGGAACGTTAATAAACCACTGCAAAACTAGAAGTATTTTTCATAGAATGTAAAAGGCAGTGGTGAAATGGTATTGTAATCTTTGGTGCTTGAGCAATGGAAAAACATGGACTAGAATAAAGATAACTTTTATTTGTTTTTTTTTTTTTTTTTTAATTTGTATTTTCTTAGTTATTAAAACACATCCTGATGTGACTATGCCAATCAAGATACCACTGTGAAAAAGAGACAGGCCAACAGAGAATATAAAAAAGGACACAAAAATATGTTATAAATAGTGTGACATTTATAAAAGCACCGAGCACCCATAAATGCTATTGAAGTCATCAAGGCCTGTGTGCGTTTGCATTTTTAAAAGTCAAACCCACTAAACACAGGATTCACATTACATACTGGGATTTAGTTTCAACTGTTTCCAGCTTGTTTAAGTGCGCAAATGAGCTGCTCCCTGGGGGAAACAGAGGAAGAAATCCACGTATCACAGTAAGTCCCCATACATAGCCAAGCACATTTGGTGTAACTTTGATCTAGTGAGACATTCAAGTATATATTAAATGGCTGATTTCATCTATTGTTAAACTTCAGAATTTGTTTTCAAAGTATATGTTGCATAATTTCCACTGCCATGGACATGTGTCTGGGTCCTTGGATTGTTTGGTACTTGACACATAGGTGTATCTGGCAACACAGGGATGCTGCCAACTCACAGAGGGCTTTTGTCCTAATTATGAAGGGTTGGGCTGGCTCATCCCCAAAATGTCAGCATTCCTGTAGGTTTAGATATTCAAGGAGTCTATGAGAAAGTCAGTCCCAACATTTGCTGTTCCAGCCACATACTTATTTATCTCTTCCTTGGAGAATATATATTCCCTGTGTGGCCTTTCTGTTTTATAACAACCAGTTTTGGAAAAACAGAAAAAAGAAAGGTGCCTCACACAATGAATGACTGGAGCTACACACCGGCCACAGTGTTCCAGCTGCCTGCCTCCCTCTGTTGTATGCCAGGATACTGGGGCTGGTACTTTGTGGAATTTAATTCCCAGGGCCACTTGCCCAACTATAACCAACTAAGCTGTAGAGTGCAGAGCACAACAGGAAAGAGAGGATGGGGCCAGATTAGCTTTATCACACAGAACATGGGAGATCTTGGCAGTCAGAGCACTGTGGGACTTTCAATGAGACACCCATTAGCTTCTGGCTCCCATGGAGCTCCAAATTCAGCAGGAACTGAGACCTCCCCTCACAAGCAAAAGCAGCATCTTCAGCTTCCTGGCCAAGTTTCCACTGGCACACTTAATAGCTAACTGGGGAAAGAAAAATACAACCCACCCCTCCTTTGTTGAAAGATTGCCAGTCCTGGAATAAGGAAGATTGTAGGTTTAGACAGAGGGTTGGATGGGAATTCATGTAGAGAAGAGATCTCAGAAGGATAAATGTTCTTTCTACACATGTGCCCCTTCCTCCTTACATTAAAGTGCTGCAATGTATGATTGTAGAAAAGACTTTGGAGAAGGAAGAGGTTACTCCTACATCTTCCTGAGTCCCTCATTCCATCAAAACCTTTTTCTATGACAGCCCCTCCCCTTGTCCCCATTTTTTGTCTTTGAAACTCTAGTCCCAGGCTTGTCACCTCTACTGGTTGAAGCAGTAAATGAGGGGAGTCTGTTTCTCTCTTAGGACAGAGATGTACAGTGCTGTTGGAATGACACATCAGCTGAGCTGCACCCCATTGTCGATGGGAGTGCAGGACAGGGCAAGTAGGTCTGTGGACACCTTGTGAGGGAGGGCCAGGGGGAAAAGTGAATGCAATGTCCACATACATGTGTAATGTGTGTGCATGCAGCTGCTGAGGGCTGGGGGAATGTCAGGAAATTTGTCAACATTGATGAATGCCATAAACTTAAATACTAGGGTAGATCTAACCACCACCAAAAACACCCCAGGTTTTCCTTCAAAGCTGTTCCCTACCCTTACCTCAAAACCCTTTACAATAATCACACAGAGAACCAGAGAGAGGGGCAGCATTGCAGGAAGCATCTTCAACACATGCTTCTGCTGTAACCACACATGTAACCCAGTTCTCAGAGTCATTCAGGTGAGGTAAGGCATATGATTTACAGTGCTTAAACATATCCAGATTATTACAACAGGCTTGGGTTAAGGATCACTATGCATGCAGATAGAGCAGTAGATCTAAAGAGGCAATAATATGCAGCAGGGCAATTGGGATGCTTGTGAGCTGAATAGGTACTCTAGGACTTTTAGCTTCTTGCCTCTTTTCACCTGGCTGTACCTCCAAATGTTTCAGATTTTGGACAAAGGTCCACAGGTCAGTTCATAGAGCAACAAAAATCAACACTCAGCATGAGATTAACATCCAGAAGGACAAATAAGAATGAACATATAGGAGTTGAAAAATTATTATTATTTCCCAGTGGATAGATAGAAATAAATTAGGGATGTTCATTCTTCTTTATCACAGCACTTGGTGACTGTTCTCTGTGCAGACAGACTGCAGTACAAGGGGAACTAATAAGCACATGACTCCATGATTAAAAAAAAAACAAAAAAACCCAAGACAGGGAAAATGTGACAATTTGTTGCACAACAAGGATGTGATTCTCCACCAGCCTGCATCTTTCAAAATTATTTGCAACTGTGGGAGAGATTGAAATACCACTGTGGAGATCAGATGGTTTAAGCACTCTATAGTGGTGCAGAACAGGAAAGGTTGTCTTGTGGGTCAAGACAACCTAGTTATGGAGTTTAGAGATGTGGGTTCTATTTTCATGCAGTATTGGCATCTAATTTGTCTGTGCCACTCTTTCCTGCCTGTAAAATGAGAGTTATATTATTTTGCCTCCAGTGTTCTGGTTTCACATTTGCACTACAGGCACTTCAGAACAGCAACTATCTCTTGGTTATCTCTTGTAATGTCTTGGGCAATAAGGATGTAATTTTGCTGTGCAGTCAAGACAAGGAATTATGCAGGAAAGTAACTCCCAGTATAGAGCTTGCTTTGTTAAAACTCTCTTTACCAGGCTTCTGATCAACTTGATACTAATGAATGTTGTGTACATAAAAGTAGACTAGAAATACAAGGAGACAAATAACTTCCCTAGGCACAGAAGAGTTTTTTCTCTTGTAGCCACTCCCTGGATGGAGAGGATAATACAGGGCAGGCTGCTGTTTCTGGCCCAAAATGATGGTGATGAGTTTATGCAGCAGCTTTCCTCTATAACTCATGGACTTTGTGAACTGTCCTTGTGACAACAAGGGCAGAGAAGTGAGGAACAAGATATTGCCCAGTTTACTTGTATTGCCCAGCCTGGAGCATATCCTGGGAAATCTTCTAAGGGAAGCTGAAATGCTTCCCAGTTGTACTGGTTGCTGCAAACAACAAACCTCCCTTTCCTAGCATGACAACAATCCACAAGTCCTCCTTCTCAGTCCTCCTGCTGTGCCAGTCTCAGGGAGAGCATGATCCACACACTGGGTTTTATGAGCAGACATTGCAGTGATGATACTGGCCAGCAGAAGATATTCTCAGATCAAGGGGAAAGCAGAAATTCAGTGTGAGCTTGTGTGTAGCTCACCCATTACAATGCTGCCTGCCATTTGTGTAACCTGCGGCTTCTCTTCCCAGCTCCATGCAGAAATAATTCATTAAAATCCACTACACAGGCTTTCTAGCTACCCATCCAACTGGAAAGCCAGTTTGCTTTCTATTTGATTACCCAGGCACTTGTGTGATGTCCACATAGAATTATTTTCTTTTCTAGTTGACTCACACAAGCCTAAAAGATGAAGTATTAGGATCCACATTCAAACAAAAGTATTATAGGTGCGAAACTTTGAATTCAAAGAAGAGGCATTGGAATAGCCTGCATGGTTCTAATACTTCTTCCTTATAACAATTCCCTTTTTAATTATGTGATTGCAACCTATTTTTTTTCTCCAAACTGGACTCTTGCCTCATTAAATATACACAAAACTGGACCTGCTGCTGATTTAGTTAAGCATTTCTAGAGTCCTTGCTTCAGTTGTTTCAGAAACATGAAGGGTAGGACAGGGGAGGGAGTGGCTGTGGCTGTATCCATCTGGCCCCAAATCCTGTCTCCAGCAGTGTTCACAAGCAGATGCCTACGGAGGAGAAGGAACAGAGCAAACATCTTTCTTTCTCATTCTCTCCAAGCCTTCAACAGTTACCAGCTCAGAAACACTTTGGTCTAGAAATCTTTACACTTGGTAACTTTCAATGGATTTCTCTTCAACAAAAACGTCTGATGGCCAGGGAAGCTGCATGAGTTTTTTACGTCTTCAACACTTTCACAGAAGTATTTCATGGTTATTCTAAAGGATTGTCTTCAGGAATAGGAGGATTAAATCCTTACTTGGATTCCATCATTCTAACACCACTAAGCACGATGCAATACAAACCAACTAATTTTTTTTTTCTCTTAGAGCTGGACACAAAGCATCCCTGGAATTGGAGTAACTTTTAATTATTTATTTCTCGTGTTAAGAATTTGCTTTATATAAAATATGGCTCTTGAAAATTGGACATTATAGCAAATATAAAGCAATTTCAATGATTAAAGTTACCAGATTTTTGAGGCAAAGAATTAAAATATTTATAGAATCAGGATTTTTAGGTATAGTTTACAAAGTGATGTAAAACCTAAGAGCTATGTGCAGGAGATGGAGTGAACACCTTGGTGCCACTGTTTTATCTTAGAACAAAAATCCCATTTGCTTAAGTGCATTAAAGGAGGATGTTTTATGTTTTATGTTGTCTTTGGTCTATCTGGATTTATTTTTTAACTCAAAGAGTGACATATGTGATTCAGATAACTTTTTTATATTATTTATAGGAAAATGTTCTCTGTTACAAGTATTTCAGATGAACACATATGCTAAGTACAATGACTATACTCAGTTATATACTATAGCAAAATGTAAT